TATGGGCAACCTTTTGATGCAACGTACAGCCATATTAGTTTAACTCCTTGCGAAATTCCAAATCCGAAAACCCCATAGTTTTGGCGAATCGATTTCAGCTTTCTTCTATTGATCGATAAGCAATGCCAGCCGGGGCGCGCCTATACTTTCCGCCTTTGAAGATATAACATTGACTAGTTTTAAAACTGTCTCTGCTGGATTTTGTAGTTAGTACGGTTTTTTTGCAAGAGTACAAATTGCAATGAGTAGTCCAAATGGCGCCGCCATGTACTTTGCTATGTACACGGTATCCTCAAGATGAGAAGTGTTATTTTATGACCTTTGTATTTGGTCACGGCATCATTGGAAATGGCGGACAGTTTCTGTCCGCTCACCAGTCTTCCGCTTCACCAGTCTTGTTCGGTGCACTAAATCGGATGGCGGCACTGCTGGCGGAAAGCGCTCCGGGCGGCACTCATACACACGCGTTGTCCTAAGATATCCCGTTTTACCGCGCCATTTTCTCGTGTCCGTACGGCGGATGGAGAGTTAGAGGCAACAAGAAACCCAAATATTTGGTTGCCTTCCTTTACCCGTTGCTACTCAAAGTGAAAGACTTCGTATTCAAGAGGTGATTTGTCGTGGGTGTTACGAAGAACGAGTACCAGATGATCACAGTGAACTCGCGCACATGCCACCACTGGCACCGAGAAATCCTCAGCTGCCGCATCGTAAGTGGATAAAGTGTCTGGGTTGAGCAGCGTTAGATGCGTTTGCTGAGGGGATTTCATTGCCAGTTTCTATCCTGACCTCGTCTTTTCTCGTGATGCATGCTCAAAAGCCTCACAAAAGGTAATAACAGCTAGTCCTTAAATGCGCCGATAAAAACGATGCATTTGGTCTGTCTGTCAACAGATATCCTATTCTCAGTCAATTGCGCAGCACCGCCGATGTATTTGCATCGGACCCAAATAAAGGAGCCTGGTGAGGCCTACCTGGTCACTTGTTGAAGCTGTACACAAAGCGGTCAAGGGGGACATCACATTCGCGTTTTGTCTTTGACAGATTTTCGGTCCGCTAAGCGTTTGGGGGTTCATCGTCAAGCAATTATTACTGTGTTCTTACTTGTGGACGCTGGGATACACAGCGACAAAGTAGTGCAGATTGAGGAAACAAAAATTTGTGCAAAAATGTGAACCAGATGACGTGCTTTAATTTACTGAAGTGAAGAAACTAATCAACAAATAAATAAAGCGGTTTCGAACGAGCTGCGGAGTATGAGGTTTTGGAGCATTCACCAACTTCCAGTTTTTAATAAACGTTTAACACCAATTTTCAATCCTTTTAATAAATATTTCTTCGTTGTTGTGCATGATATATACATGTAAACTAGTACTCACTCTCTAGGAATTTACGTCTTCCGGCATGCGTTTCGCTTGACCTAACACCACTGCCCAGCGCCATAGGAGGTAAAGTTCATAAATTCCTTCCATTTCACTCATTGTATGAATCTGATATTAAGTGGTATGCCCGATCATAACAGCGAACCTCTCTGTTACTCTTTATCCTCTTGAGTACCCATTCCACCTGCCTAACGTATCATGAACTGGGTGTAGACCTTTAAATTAGTCCAATTGCAGGAACTCATGTTGCGCAATATTTCAAAATCCATCATCTACCACCGCTCCATCTTCGTTTATTTAGTACTTTTAAAGTGAAGATTATATCTGTGACGTGCAATATCCATTTTCACCATGGTTTCGGTTTGTTGGTGCAGGTGACTGTTTGGCTCACACTGGCTACAAAGTGTATCACGATTATTAATCCAATTAAGATTCAATACCCATTGTCACTAAATTCACCAGGATTATGGGACAGCGATGAAATGTCCCGCGAGTGGTTGCCACAGATTGCGGTGACGGTGTGCCACGACACCTATTAATGGCGCTGGTACTGCATTCTGTTGTATTGGTCATCATGTATAACAGTGGAGTGAACGGGGGTTGGTGCTATTACCACAACCTCGTAAGCAATCTTTTGTTGGTTCTTCCCGTACAAATCGCTCTAATCCATCATCTTTGATATTTTTACGTTTCCATCTACCTTACTTTGTTCATTTGTTCCAAGTTTTCCTTTCCCTTTAAATCGTTGTGTCCTCTCCAGTTAACGAAAATTACTATTACCACAACTTTCCGATTCTACATTTTCGTGACCTATGAGGTGTTCATGAAAGGCTTCGTAGGATTTTATTAACAAATATAATCTTACTTTGGTTTATGTGCACTGCAACAGCGTTTATCACTATTTGTTCCAGTTGCACTCCGTCTTTGCCTAAGGTGTGAGGTTTTTTTAAAATATAATCCCCAACGAATTACAGGGTTTCTACATGCATGTGATGTGAGAGTTGCTGGCTGAAGCCTTTCATGAACACCTCATAGGTCACGAAAATGTAGAATCGGAAAGTTGTGGTAATAGTAATTTTCGTTAACTGGAGAGGACACAACGATTTAAAGGGAAAGGAAAACTTGGAACAAATGAACAAAGTAAGGTAGATGGAAACGTAAAAATATCAAAGATGATGGATTAGAGGAAAAGATAGAGAAAAAATGAATGGAAAGCTGTTTCATGAATCCCCTGGATTGTCCAGTGAGGTTGTGCATCAACCGTTCTGGGATGAATGGTAGTAGTGTTAAACTACCCAATCGCCGGTGTATACCCCTACATGTCGTTCGAATTTACATGAAACGCGGGTGAAAGTGTATGGTGAGCGCTCCAAAAGGTTCCCTACAAAAAGTGGTGTCCGAATAGAATGTATGCTCTCTCCATTGGTGTTCAACTTCATCACTGATGAAATAATGGAACGAACGCTAGAAGGTCTTCGGAACCTTGGTGTTCAAATTGTTGTTATTGGGCGGTTTGTTGAGTTGGAGTAAGAAGATGACATCGCCCTCATCTTTGAGGAACATATCGAAGCACAAGTCCTGTTGAATAGACCAACCACCATCTTACTGTTTTTGGCATGCGCCTCGCACCTATAAAGTGCAAATTCCTGCTTTAAAAGGTGAAGTCCGCGAGTGTATCCCTTACAATTCAAGGAGAAGCACTGGAGATTAAGGAAAATTTTACATATTATCTCTGACGGAAATGTGTCTGATGAAGTCTGCGAGAATCCCAAAGACTCTAATCACGTTTGCTAATTTGCGTCACTTGTGGTATCTAAGAGGCGTCTCACCAGATATTAAGGGTCTGTGCGCCAGGCTACGGTAAGGGCTGTGCTGTTGTATGGGTGTGAGACATGGCCTATGTGGACACGTGATATGAGACGTCTTCAAGTTTTCGACCACCGATGCCTCAGAAGCGTGGCTGGTTTTGGATAGCATCTGCGTGTTAGTAACGATGTGCTTAGAAAACGGGTAGTTGGTTTTGTGTGGGGTACGTCAACTGTGGAAAATATCCAGAACCACCGACTGCGATGACTTGGTCCTGTGATACGCACGCCGAAACACCGTCTACCGAAACGAGTGTTGTTTTCCTTGCCTCCATCAAAATGATACAAACCACGCGGTGGATAGCGCATGATATTGCAGAAGAGCGTGAAAGAGATCACGATGAATGTGGTGTTGTACGCCTTCCAGGTTGGAGTTCTTGTGACCCCACCTGTGTTTGGCTAGAGACCTTGCAAGAAATGGCGGATAATCTGTGTCAGTGGCGTTTATGCTGTCAATTTCCTTCCAGATTGTCTGACTGAGCGGTTAGAGGCACCTCAGAATGCTCGACATATTCCAGCACTAAGCCCCTCCATCACCCACTCTTTTTCTCTTCTCATTCTAATGCTTTAAATATATTTAGACGAATCTTATAGTCGTATGACAGTGAAGCATGGTTGTCAACGCTTATGCTGCTCTCTTCGATGAGTATGATGAAAATGCTGCACGTGAATGAATATTTTGTTTACCGCTATGATGATTTAGACTTTAGGCTTTTTAACCTGATTTGAAGTTATTCGCCCCCTTTTTACGAGTAATTCTCATATCATGGCGAATGATCCTAAATTGTTCGCTTGCTAAGTGCATCGAAGAGCACTCTAATAGAAATATACTCGAGATTGGACGTTCCGTACGTATCCCCCGTCAGAAAATCAATGAACGGGAATCAAGCAGCATAAGGCTTCATTCTTTTGACGTCTGCAAATACGCGCGGTTTCAATACCCCCATAAAATTGGAACAAACATTTTTCGTCTATCCAGACTTGATAGCTCCTTTAAGATTTGGATTTCGCATAGTCACTTCTGTCATAAAAGACTCGATGAAGACAATATAACATGTAGCAGCCTTTGCATGGAGTCCATTTAGGAATCAGCCAACTAGTGTGTTGGCTATGACCAGTGCCTACGAATAAAGTCTCTCTGTCAATTGCTTCTGGAAATCATTGATTGTCCCTCTTGGACTACCAGCACTCGGTTGAGGACCTGGTACTTATACCTTGGGTGGTAAATGTATCTTCAAAAGGTTCCCCAGAACAGACCTGCTTAGAATGAGAAGGTGACTTCATTAGTTGTTAAATGGTATGACTTTATTGAGGCAGTTGCAAACACAGCAGCAGGTTGAGTTTTAGTTGATTTCTCCAAAGTTTGTTGCACTTTTATCCTGCAGTAGGACCATACTTAACGGTACCGCACCGTTTTACAGTGATTGACTGAATTCGAACCAAAGACAGCTAAACGCCGAGACAAGAACTGACCATATGCTTCAGTGGACATTTTGGTCTTGTTTGCCAATTATCGGGTCTTGGATTCCTTCTTGTTTCTCCGGTTGTCCTTATGTCTTCTTCACGGTAGATAACTCTTAATTCTCAATCAACCGGTCCGCGAATTCCAGCCAGTATTTTATGGCTCTTTAAATCGCCAGTACTTTCTTGGATGCACGATACAATGTCCTCTCTCAAATAACCATTATGTAGATGTGATCAAACTGCTCCTAAATGGTGGTTGAACTGTCGAAATAACTGAAGCCTAGGTTTTTCATGGGCTAGCCAGGAAACTTGGAAGTGCCGCACGTTGTAACTCATTCTCGTTGGACTTGGATTCGCTAAAAACTGACGTATGCGTTGGAGGTTCTGGTTGTCTGGTAAAACCAAAATATGATGGAAACAAATATCAGTGTGACTGTGCCGAGAATAATGGCGTGAAAATTCATAGTGTTTACTCTGGCAAATGGATGATCAAGGTTACAAGACATACTGATTCAGGTAAGGGTGGTGTGCCAAGGGTTTATGGTCCTGTTCAGTTATATAAGGGTTTTGCTTTCAGTTAATTTAAAGGAAAGATAAGTGCAATTATCAACCTATGAAGGCACAAGAAACAGTTTCCAGTGAGGACTACTCATACGAAGAATCAAGTGATTCATGACTCTTTTGTGTGAAGCGTGAAATAAAACTCACTGCGCAGCGGCATTAGCTGCAGCGGTAGGGATGAAGTTATTTTGCGGACGAAACTGCGTGGTAGAATCACGGCTAATAAAGTGCGTTTGAAAGGCCAAATATCTTATTAGAATTTCTTTGAGGTTATAAACGAATTACCGTCTATCAGCAAGCAGTGCTGAAAACCGGTAACTTTGATTATTCTGTTTATTATACTTATTTTCTGATGCCGGTAATAGGTGTTTAAGCAAATGTAAAATGAACAAACTAGAGTTCATTGACTTTCGCATCTCACTCGTTTGTCTCAACCAAACACTGTGCACCAACCTTAAATATACTATCCGCATCCATTGAATATAAATCAAAACATCATGCTTTCCGGAGGTACTCACGGCCGCCGGTTAGACGGTGGGGAGGTTTTTGTTTACCTGGACATTACAGTTGCCCCTAACTTCGTTGGATTTATAGAACCAAATAGACTTCATTTTATTAGTTGAACATTCTGAAACTGAAAGCCACCTGCGTTGAATAACGTCCATAAATACCATCGAAGTTTTCCTCGAACATATTTATTTCAATAAGCAGTTGTGCTGGTGTAGTGATGAAGTAGTTAAATGACTAAAAATACACATCATTCCCAAATCAGGCTAAGTTGTGTTATACAAAAATGAGCAAAAGTACACGGCACCTAGTACGAAGCACAACGGCGGCTTTGGGGAAACGTAGAGAAACTACTCTGTTCAATATTCATGGTGCCACGAAAACGGAATGTTTTATAGTATACAAAAGTGATGGCCTTTGAACCAAAAAGCACATCTAATGGTGATGGTGGGTGGCACAAACACATTGACCTGCCGTCAAGAGTTTGAGCTGGGGGTTTAGTACTTAAATTTGAGTCAAAACATTTCTGATGATCTTTCGTCGAACGCAAGCCTATTCTTTCTCTACTGCTTTGTAGGTTGATATTTTTGTCGGAGTTCTTCCTTTTTTCGCGTATTTTCCTTTCAACATAAAATAAGTCTACTAAGTTAGCATTGTGAAACATCTAATTCCGCGATGTTACATTCATACTGGCACTCGAGCTCAATGTGGTTTAGTGGTTATAGCGTGGAGTTGTTGACCGGAAGGTCCCTGGTTCAAAATCAACCCCGCTATCTAGACTACATTTGTGCAGGCTTGGGCTGCCTGGAGGCACCTTGCCCCTTGTGTTTCTTCGGGTGACATGGAAGCTGGGTACCGCAAGGATGAAACAGCTGAACGATCATTGTTTCTACGCTAGCAGTCACCCAAACCTGGTCAAGCAAATAACATTTGGCCATCACTCGTTCCATAAATCTTTGTCCAGCTATGTCCCGCCGCACTCATTTTGTCAGTTTAGCACCTACAAAAATGCTGGCTTATCGTTGACTAAGATAGTGGTGGTGTTACGAATGAGACTTAGACACATTTTAGGGTTGCAAAGACCTGTAGCGTACCGCTGACCTATTTTGTCAGATATTCGCGGACCAGCTTCAAACTCTCAATAGGGTTACATTTCTCTCAACTTTACAGACAACCACACAGTGGCAAACAGTATATTACTGTAGCGTCAAGGTTTTGGCTGCCGCAGTCGACGTTTGTCATGGGTTTAGCCGACCTGAGAGTTACAGAATCATCCTAACTCGTCCCTGTCAGACATTATTTACTTTGTTTACATCTGGACCACCGCTTCGGTCGTACGTAAAGTTTTTTTACAAAGCCTGTACTGAAGAGTTCAACTTTTCTGCACATAATAATTTCGAAGATATACCGCTTTTGGGTCGTATATGTTCCTCCATGGGTGCCAACCGGATGGCTACGTGTAACTAAAGTGTATACCCTTTACCGCCGAATTATGATTTCTCGGACCGGTACTGAGTAAATAGCACTTATTTTTCCGCGGAGCTGTACTTGAAGCTACTCCGTGGTTTCTTCTAATGTGCACGTCTGTGAAACATGTCTGTCTTACTCACCGATTTGGCACAACACTCCCTTACTATTGTTTTATTTATGGTACACCTCTCACTTCTAATCTGAGTCCATGCAAAACTATTCAAAAAGATCAAAGGCTCTTAAGCCCAGCAAGGCTTGTTACTCACCATGCTTCCGTTAAGGTGCGTTTGAAATTTTCAGTTACACTAAAGCTGACTCAGCTAAGAGACTACTACTCGAAGCTAGCCTCCTACTTCCAGTCTTCTGATGCACTTCATGATATGATAGCTGGCAAAGCATACAGAAAAGCACACCTGATCTTGAAGTATGTAGTCAACAAATGTCTAAAGGTGAACCTCGAAACGTGGTGATGGAAGCCTGCCTCGGAAGTACGGATGAGTGCCCGCTAAGCGGGTCGTTTTATCACCACCTGGGCCTACCAGGTGGACGTCGGCCGATTGAACATATGAATATTTTACTGATGGTTTCAAATCGGTAGCCAATGGAACACAGCATGTGACCGCATTTAGGGAAGTATGTGAATTAGATGCGAGCGCAGGCCCAGGCGTAGTTCGATGTTGCCACATACCAACTAGTTAATTACAGGTCAGTAGTTTCTTATTGCCGATAGCCGAAACTCACAGATCGTTTGAGTTTAGTAAAGCCATATTCTTCGGTTTTAACAAGATGTTTGTGGTAAATATGTGATTAAAATCAAGAAATCTCAATCTCACAAGAATTCTCGTCCTTGCTGGGTCTAGTCGAGTGGTTTTGGGGGACCAGAACATATGATGTCATCATTGAAACCTTAAGACTGCGACTCATGGAACCAAAAGCCATCCATTTCATTTATGCGGCTAGGTATTGTAAAGAACGTCTGATTTTTACCATTAGGTTGTACTTTAATAAAGATGACTCGGTAGAAGCACAAACCGGTTTGCTTGGTCTTGTCTTGCAGTCAAACTTAAACGGCTGGATATCATCTGAACTCCTTGTGAGGTAGGGTTTACAACTCAGCATCTTCAAAGGCCTTTGTAAGCCCATGAGCACCAGTTTTATAACTTTCTGTTCAGCCTATAATGTCCCATACAAGTGCAACTATCCATGAACCTTTCTGTCGCACGAAACATCTAAGTAGAGGCAAACTTATCACTTATTGAAATAGAAAGTCAGGAAAAATGGGAGCGTTATGGACTCCCACTGGTTCTTCAGCGAGAGAATTTTATAATTGAATCATTTGCGTTTTCCATGTTTTTTAATTTACAAAACAATGATTCAGTCAATTGGTTTCACTAGGAATACGCCTCTTAGACCCTGTATTTTCTCGTTGGCGATGACAAAAATTGTCTGCACTAGGCAAGAGGAAGGGCTAGTCAACGAAACCAAAAACTACACATATCTGGTTCAGTGGATAGGTCCAAGCCTTAGGGCTGTGTCTGGTCATGTTCTATAGCAGCAACTGAGTTAACCCCATGCTTGTTTCGATGGGCTAACTACATTTAATGCAGCTTTAACTGCCAGCATCAACCTTTCAGCAACCGCGAGGTCTGTAAGCACAGTCACCGCATTGTTTTGCCTTCTTTGTTGTCATTCTTCACTCAGCTTCAAGTTGAAAAAGTCTTTCCAGCGCCGTTTATGTATTCATAAAAGTGGGAGTTTTACCATCATCTTTCATGTTTCCTTACTGTTTCTTTTATGAAGGCCACGCCACGCAAACTGAGACTTTGTTCGATGAGCCAAAACTAATTTCTGAGTGTCGAAGGATCATGAGCAGTCCCTTTT